AAAATCTGAAACTTTCCCATGCTTATTTTGCAAAACCTGAGAGATTTGGTGGCTTGTTTTACAAAATCTGAAACTTTCCCATGCTTATTTTGCAAAACCTGAGAGATTTGGTGGCTTGTTTTACAAAATCTGAAACTTTCCCATGCTTATTTTGCAAAACCTGAGAGATTTGGTGGCTTGTTTTACAAAATCTGAAAAGTATTGTGTTAAATCATCTAAACTATCTGAAAATGTGAGACTCGTTTGGTCTCACTTATTTTAAAAATTAAAAAAAACATTACTTCTTTAAAAAAAAGTTATATTTATATTTAAATTATTTTCAAAATCACGAAATCATCATCTTTTCAAACTACGAAAGTTAAGTTGAAGAATAAAACGGCCGACAAATTCTGGCGACTCCGCTGGGGACTGGTTCCTCTCTCCATCTTTGATCAGGTGGTCTTGATTTCGACTCAAATCATGAAACTCTCACTATACCGGTATGGTTTAGTCTACCTGATCTCAAGCTTCACTGTTTTCATCATTAGGTTCTCTACTCTATTGGGGTCATCCTTGGGGACCCTATGAAGCTAGATCTACCCTTTCAATCTAAACAGACCTTCTGTGGCTAGAATACTTCTGGAAAGGGATATCACTTTACCTGATGTTACTGAAATCTGGCTAGGTATAACTCATAATGGATATTGGCAACAAATTGTTATGAAACACAGACCTTCATATTGTACCCACTGTAAGATGTTTGGTCATATCATTGATAAATGTCACAAGCTTCACCCTAATTTGAAATCCAAGGTTCAAGTGAATAAGGAAGGGTCTAAACCCATGCTCTAGACATTTTAGTTCCGCCTGGGAAGGATACTACCAGACAGGAGGTGATTAATGCCCCTATGGACCCCCCCCCCATGATACTGCTACTACTGTTACTGAGATTGACGTGATGTTGGCACCTTCAAACCCCGTAGAAAACAATACTGAAGGACTATTATCTACAAATAATAGTGTTCAGATTGATAATCAGAAGAACATCGCAACTCCTCTTCTTCAGGAAGTATTCGGTGTAGAGGCAACTCATACTTCACATATATCATAACCTATTGTGGGTACTACGGTTGGTAATCCTTCTGCTACAGCTCTACCACCTCATCAGACTGATTTTCGGATGAGGAATGACAGGTTTACACTTCCAGGAAGAAGAAGAAGAATGGAGATTTACTTGAGCTCAGGAGTCTCATGAATGATGCTTTGGTTACTTCGGGTAATGGTACGCACCTTACCAACTTGTTAGTTGGATCCCTACCGAGAACTAGAGCCAGAGGTAGGACCAGATTGGGATGACCTTCACTTTTTCAGCGCCCTAGTAGTTTTGGGTTTTCTTTATTTTTATATGTACCTTTTTTTACTTTTTTGTGTGTTATACCATGTGGATGCCTATTTTTTGGCCCACACATACAACTTATCTGTATCTTTTCACTTTAATGAATTAGCCCTTGGGCTTTTTTGTATATATATATATATATAGACATACATATATATATGTATATGTATGTATGTATATATGTATGTGTGTACATATATATGTATGTAGGTATGTATATATATTATTAAATCACAATTAAACTCATTAAATTTAATATTATCTCAAATATTTAATAAACAATTAGAGCTTAAATAAATCAAATCCTAATCTTTCTAGCTGTCGCCACCCTTCACCCGATCAAAAACTGAAATTTCTTTCTTGAACCTTGATTTAATTAAACCTTATTATTAATAATTAATAATTAATAATATATTAAATTCCTAAATTTATCATTTAAACTCTTAATTATTTCGGTCTCCCTAAAGCTTGGCCCGACCTAGACAAATTTCTTCTTCCCTTCTCTTTCGGCGCAAGACCTCCTTTGAATGTGAGATTCAAGTCGAGAGTTGGACTCCCTCCCGCACAAGCATCTCTGCTATTGTGACCGACGTCGTCTCTTCCACAAGCTACACTGAATCTCCTCCCCTGCAATGAAGACGATGTCTCACGCCACAGCTAGGGTTGGTCGGCCTCTTCTTCCCTACTCTTCTTCTTCTTCTCATTTGATCTCTTCCTCTAAGCTCAGCTCGTCATCTACTTTCGCACTGAATGTCTGCTCGAAGAACGACGATATCATGAGAGTGTATTTTCCTTGATCAGTCAGACACCAGTTATGGACCTGCTCAACCTTTGCACCAGAAGCCGCTCAGTGCTACAGATAAGTCGTTTGTGACATTTTATAGGCGAACAAAGCTCCTTAGCTTCTAACCCTTATGCTTCATCTTTCATTTCTTCGGCTACCCGACTCCTCGCCTTCATTTGGAGCCTTCAATGCAAATGTCTACCCGAATGTCTATTATATGTGTGTGTGTCTATATATATGTGTGTGTGTGTCTCTTTCTCTCTATATATATATATAAAGATTGGTCAGAGGCTATTACACGAGTCTCCCGACCAACTTCATATACGTGAGAATTTCATCCCGCACATAGGCGGGATCGAGCACGTGATCTCAGGGGCCTTACAAACTCTGCCCACCAAAGAGTCACGGTAGGCGGCACGTATATATATATAGAGAGAGAGAGAGAGAGAGGAACTTTAATATCAATATGCTTCTGATCTAAATCAGTAAAATTTAGTACTATCTCAAAAAAGAAACAATGATAATAATTCCATTAGCTCACAATTTAAGCGTCGTAGATTTAAATTGATTCACATGGCCACTGCAATAAATAAGGTTTGAAAAACATCCTTATCTTTTCCAAATGATGACATGACTATAGACATTGTTGCACTTGTGACTAACCATATAAATAAAAGGCATTATTAATTGCATACATGATAGGAAAATCAATTCTTTGATTTATCATGCCAAAATAATCACAGGTCTTATTACTTAAGACTCTTTTGCACTTCTCTTTTTTCTTTTTTTTTTTGTTTAATTAAGGGTTTGTTTTAGGTTTGTTTTAGGAATATACATAATCTTCTGCACTTAATTACTAAGAAAATCAAGTTTATGTTTTCGTTGTTTCAAAAGCTGGGATAACTTGAGTAAAAGTATACTTTTGCTTCGCTCATTTCCATACCTATAAACATTTATCTTAGGCTTTAAAATTTAAATTTCTCCTTGAATGTTTGAATGAAAACTTCATCAGAAAAAAATTGATAAAATGATGCCATTGGTTTCAAGTTTTTATCAGTTCTGGGCATAGAGCACATGTATGATTTCAATGTCTATTAAATTTAAAAACATTGTACATCTCTCTAGGGTCAAGTAGATCCTAAAAAAAAATATCAATTTGCTTGGAGAAGCACATACACAGAAATCAACCTTGTTAAATTAAATTTTCCAATTTCATGTTCTGAAAGAAAAGATTTATGAAGTTGGCTGCAACAATCAAAAACATTATAGAAAATTAAGGCCAATTTTGATTAAATGAATATTTATTTAGAGGCAAGCCAATCAAAAATTGAATCCTCACGTCCGAAATTTTATTCTTATCAAATACATAATAATTTTTTCTGTCAACTCGCTTTGTGTCAATATTGGGTGATAGGGAGATCTATGAAAAAAATCAAGAATGCAAGCGAATCTTCTGAACTGTCTAAAACTTTTTTTTTTCCAAGTTACAGTAACAGATATATGAATGATTTCAATTTTGTCTCCAGCAAACTAACATGCTGTGTTTTCTAAAACTCTATGCTCACTTAGTATTTCCATAAAACTCAGCATTCGTGTTTGCAGGGCATTTGAATTGTCTTATTAAATTTGATTACATTTTGAAAAAATTGAAAGTAATGATATAAATTCCATTCAGAACATAGAATAAAAGTGGTGGCCTGCATCAATTACTCATCTTGCCTTGGCATGAAATTCTCCTTTTACATAAACACCGTTTCGAATACTAAGCCACATATAGGGAATAATCTAAGCTCGTAAAACAGATTGAAGAATTCATTATAAAGCTGGATGATGGATGTGTAATCAAAAAAAGGCTTTGAAATTCCCCACTTCACTATATAGTGTTGAAGAATCTGGAAGAAGGGAAAGTTCACAATTGATGAGGACAAAAAAATTTGTATGATCAAGTTTTCAGCATGAAGAAATATTGCCTCCAATGTAAGGGTCTATTTGGGGCAGCTATAGCTCTTTATAAAAATAATCATAAATTTGTTACAGGAAAAGTAATTTTCTTAAGGGCTGTGATAATTATTAGAAGTATTTTTTAAAAAACAAAAATTATATAGCAGCTTTCTCGAAAGCTACTGCATTTTGGTAGATTTGATTATCAAATGCAATTGCCCTCCACAGAAAGTTCTGAAAATAGGCAAGAAAGCAAAAGCTAAACAGATGATAGGCAGCAGTTTTCAAAAAAAGAAAAAAATTGAAAAAGCTGTCCAAAACAGACCAAGTTTTTTGTCATTTCCTCCGTCACAAGGATAATTAAGCTAGGAACTATAATATCAAACTTCAGTTTTTATGTACGTAAATAAAGTTTAACAGATAATTTGTTGCACAAGGAAATATAGTATCATCAAAAGTTCGATAAAACGCTATTAATTAGTAAAATTGCCGAATTTCGCTTTACTAGGTGTGTTTCAGAAAAAGTATGGTGTTTTACATCTTTGGGTGTTTTTTTTCTTTTTTTTATTTATTTTTTTTTCATTTTACCTTGTTTTTTAGGGTAATCTTCACAAAAATATTGAATCTGCATACAAATTTCATCATATGAAAGACAGTTTTTGCACATCTAAGCAGACTCCTAAATTTTAACAAGTTTGCAATAAATGTCTGCTCAAGGGCATTTCATAGGTTTCTTCCATGTGTAGTTATTCTTGCATCTATTACCACATTGTAAATATACATGATTTCAACGGCACGTACATAATTTTCCTTACTTTATTTTTGCAGTTATTATTACTGTCGTGCAGAATCACAAAGATTCAATAAGCAACAGATGTGTAGTTTGTAAACAACACTTACCAAATCAGTGATATACTCCACAACAATGTCCTCAACAAGTGCAACTGTTTCTGGAAGGGGCTGCAAAAAAAATCAATAAGCTATAAGCATTGTGCAAACACTATTTAATAAAGATAATCAGATGATAGAAAAAATTAACAAATAGTTTTTTTAGAAAACATTACTGCTAACAAAACAATTAAGATCACAATATAGTGCCTTATATTTATCTCCCACGTGGGGTTAAGGATCAACATGAATGAAAGAAATGGCAGAGTTATACAACCGATAGTCAAACAAAGAGTATGGCACAACAACATCAAGAATTTAAATCACATCAGCATCCCCAATTTTAAAGCATGAAGCTAGCTTGGCCAGTCTCTATTTGAATACATTCTTCCTTCTATAGTTTAGTTGAAGTTGTCAAGATTCATGAAGAAATTAATGTATTTTGCTGTTTTTTTTAGATAAACAGCTATTGCACTCTCTTTTTATTATTGTTGGATGAATCTTGAACTTCGCTCATTTTTTCATCTCCTCTAAATGCACAATTAATTACATCGTTGACTTTATCCATTGTATCATAAATATAACACATTGCAAGTCATTTGTCATTATATACTAATCTTAACATCTTCAAAATTGGAATTTCAACATTCAAAGTGTAAGTGACTTCATTCAAAAAATTAGATTTAAGGATGATCTTCTCGGCCTTTTTTTTCCTTTAAAATAAACACTAAATCTAGACTTATTCCAATCTTTTGAAACAAACATATGCTTTAAATTTTCTATTTTACTTATATATGCTGGTAAGAGTAAAAATGAAGTTGCAAAAAAGTGACGTCTGGCCTTACCAATTCAGCACTAGTATATGTCTCATCATGTTAAGGAAAAGTCCATGATTACACACACACACACACACACACACACACATATATATATATATATATCCAGTTAACTCCAAAGCTTTTGGATTGTATTTTTCACCTCACTCATCTTTCCAATATCATCTAACATAAGATCTGTTGTCGATAGTGTCCAATATATGTGCGTCTTTTTTTCCATTAGCATTTAACATAAATATATAAAATAATTTTTTGAAATTCTTTAATTTAAAAAAAGATAACATATATCTACATTTAGTTATGATAAAATAAAATACAAACTTGCAACATAACTAGAATGATTATCTGTAACCAATTGAAGCACATTTTTTTTTTCCAATTTTCTCTCTATGCATCAAAGAGTTCAAACAGTTTCACCACAATTTTTTAATATTTCGATGCATCTATGAATTCTAATAATACAGTGCTTGAAGATGAATTAACTAAAAAATTAATTATAGATTGTTATTTACGATCAGTACATCTATCAGACATAAGAGTGCATCACTTCTCTTCCCAATTTTTTTTATGATCTTCCAAATCATTCATAATTGACTGTAATTTCTTTTCAAATAAAAGAATTCTTAACTTATGAAAAGAAGTTGGTCGAAGACCCAGTCCATATTGTCTGATTGCCTCAACAATGTGATCAAAACTCTCCAACGTCAGTGCATTGAAAAAAAATTCATGCTAAATAAAAATACTGAGTAATATATTATATAGTTCTTTTTCTGATGCTCTTATCCACATTTTTTTTTTATTCTCATATGCCTCATATATTTTCTTCTAGTAACTTCACTTTTCGGTTCCTTATAAAGGAAATTATGCGTTGAACTTTTCATTTTAGGATGCATTTGTTTCGGTTTTTTGGCCCAAGTTCAGAACCTGAACTGGGATTTAGAGTGTTTGGATAGAACTTTTCACCACTCCCGTTCCAAACCCGTGGTTGCCATTTGTTAAAACGCGAACGCAGCTGACATTCCACTTTTTTATTTTCTTGCTTACCCATGTCACCTCGTTCTTGAAACAGCCCCCACCCACAGTACCCTAGCTTCATTCATGACCCCTTTACGTCAAATAATCGCAAGAAAGCCTACATCCATCGTGATTCTCTGTCACCGCATCCTGTTTCACCCAAGGTAGCATTCCTCCTCACAATTCCTGCCATAGCTTCATTGTCTTATCCCTTCTTTCACATCTCTCTCTCTCTCTCTCTCTCTCTCTCTCAGCCCTCTTTCTCTTTCTGATTATTTGTTGCTTTTACTTCATCCCAGTGATTTGGTTGATTGGTTGGAGTTGGAGAGGTTGGTCTTTTCAATTTCAAGCCTAGTGGCATACCTGTCCCCCTTGAAGTACATAATCAGGCAAGCTCTCTGTTTTATTAGTCTTTCTTGTAATTATACTTTTATTTTTGCTCGTTTGTTGTACATGGAAAATCAAAGCAAAAATGTGTCGTGTAGTCATCTTGCTAAATCAGAATGTTTTCAAATAGCAGCTCATTTTTTGTATATAAAAGATCAAAATCAAATATAGCATAATCTTGATTTGTGGACATGCTAAAAGGCATCACACACCAATTGCAGCTTAATGGCTGAGTAAACCAAATGCATGACGTGTCAAATCATTGAAAGTAAGATTGTTCGCATGTTCTCCAAGAAACAGGTTGAACTCTTGAACCTAATGTCATTGAATGTCGCCCAAACAAAGTATTAGATGAATTAAAAAAATATTTTTCCTTTTAGAAGTGTGCGGCCAATTCAAGACTTTGCTATTCTTTTGAAATTTTCAACTTTCTTTTCAACTTAAATTCAAATTTGTCAACCTACGCATGCTTTTGAGTTGGTTGCCCTACATACCTAGCACTCAATAGAAAGAAAATGAACTTTTGATATTCATAAAAAACTTTTCATAATTCAGTTGAAAGCAAAGTAGTCAGTAAATTCCTTGGTTGCCGACAATGCTAGAGAAATCGAGGTCAGCCTCCTTGTGCGAGAGAGAGATTGTTGGATTTTGTGGATGAAGAAGAAGATTGTAACAATGAGTAATGGAGTGATAGTTTTGTGGTTTCATTGAAGTTTTAGGTGTTACATTTTGCTAAACATTTGGAATTTAAATGTTAGATTTGTAAATTCATAGGAATTGTGTGGTATGTATGTAAAGCTCATAAAAAAATGCCCAGTTGGATCTCAAAGAATAGCAATAATTTTGCAAGTTGTACTTTCATATGTATCAATGTGATATCTATTGTTTGCCCGAGACATGAACTACATGATATAATTACGCTAACTTTGTAAATTCATAGGAATTGTGCGGCATGCATGTAAAGCTTCATAAAAGAAGTCATCCTTCTCTTTAATGTTCGATAATAATTATGTTGAAATATTTAATTTATCTTCTATGTTTATACTTGTGATATTTTCTCATATTTTTTTGTTAGATTGATGTAATGAACTTTGATTTTCTTAATTATTTCTATTTGTTTTTGAAAATTTTGAAGAATATTAATTATTATCTATAATTGAAATATTTAAATATATATATCAACCAGTTAGATATAATAACAAATGAGCAACACAAGAGAGCGCATCATCCGCTTTATGAGAAAAAGAAACAAAAATGATTTTTTTTACATTTGTTTGAAAGAGATTAAATTAGATAATATACCAACACATTTCAGCAAAGAAAGTTGACGAAACATTATTAAAAACTTTCAAAAGAGAACTGGAAAATTAAATGACCGAACTCAATTAAAGAATAAATGGAACCAGATAAAAAAAAATTGCAAAATATGGAAAGAGCTAAAGATGATCTATTGGGTTTGGTTGGGATCCAACTAAAAACACCATAATGCATCGGCAGATTGGTGGAAGGAGAAGTCAGAGGTAAAATAAATTTTAAGACATTTTTATTTCTATTTCATTTAAACGGAAAATTATTAGACAAATTTTCCTTTGATTATATGAATGGCCAATTGTGCCAAATACTAAGAAATTTAGGTTTGGTAAAATCGAACATGAGCTAGAGGAGAAGCTTGATCTCATGTTTAGTAGCGTTGTTGCAGCTGGTGAACATGGCTGGACTCCTCAAGGTTTGCAAGAACATGAAAAGCCCAATGGATCATATTCAAAGGTCATCACATGACATAAATAAACATAATGAATCTAATTATACTAAGACTCTACCTTCTTTAAAGCAAGGGCAAATCGTAGTAAAAAAGTTAGTCATGCATATCTAAGAAGTCAAATACTATAATTAGTTACAGTATGCACAAACTTATCTTCTGAGGCATGCACCGTGCAACCATCTTTCATCTATTCCTGTTGTAATAAAAATATTTGAACAAACAACAGAAGTTTATGAAGATATTCTCTTATATCTATACTCAATGAAGCTACTTATGGATCCTGTCAAGTAGGAGTTTTTCATATCTTGTATCTACGAGAATGGTTCATTACTTGTGCTTCTTCTAAAAAATCACAATGACTAATTCATATTAGTTATGTGTTTTGAGCAGAGTACACTTGATAATTTTGTAGACAACTACTTTTCATGTTTGACTTTTTTGGTAAAACTACTCATGATGTTAGTTCTTTTGAAGATATTTTCTAGTAGAATAATTATTTTTAATATTGACACTTGTGATGTGTCATCTCATTTGATACGGTAATATTTTATTCTACTTGTGATACTTGTGATGAGCTCATGATATTTTTTGTTGTGAAGTTAGTACTTGTGGCATCCTCTATTGTGATGTTTGTACTTGGGATATCTTTTGTTGTGGTGTAAATATTTGTGATATCTTCTGTTGTGATGCTTATACTTGTGATATATTGTGTTGAAATGTTAATACTTGTCATATATTGTGTTGTGATGTTATACTTGTGATATATTACGTCATGATATTATACTTGTGATATCATTTGATGTTACATTAATACTTGTGTTATTATATTCTCAAATATATCATGTGTAATATTTATTGTGCAACAATATTTAAAATATTTACAGCAATGAATCCTAATGATAGAGAACATAGAAAATGTTGCAAAAAAAGTTTATTGCAACGGTCATATGTGTGCTGACTGAATATTATGATTCATACATGCCTTACACTCAATGCATGACGTAAACATTTACAGGGGGACAAGTGGATAAATAAACTGCTTAGGAGTCATCCAATGAGATTTCATAATATGT